AAACCCTCAACAGTAAACCCCCCGCCCCGCTAACTATAGACGACCCCAGCTGTAAACCCTAAACCCTAAACCCTAAACCCTAATTCTCATCGTTGAAGCAGCAATATGATATAAACCCTAAACCCTCGCATCCATCCCCTTAAAAGCGGTGGCTAACCCAAAAGACAATCGACGATGACCACTGAGCTGTAAACCCTAAACCCTAAACCCTAAACCCTAAACCCTAGATTTTTCAAGGAAGTTGTTTTTTTAATATATATATAAAATAAAATAACAATTTTGATGGAAAAAGGGTCAGAAATACCCCCCCTAAACCCTAAACCCTAAACCCTAAACCCTCGAGCACGCGCTGCACGCTGCACGCAGAGTTGAGTGGTCGGCTGTAGGTGGTTGAATGCTAAACCCTAAACCCTAAACCCTAAACCCTAAACCCTAAACCCTGAAATATTGAAATAAAAAGTAAAAAACATTGAATAAAACCCTAAAAGGGTTTATTATTTCGCTGACTCACCAAAACACCAATCAGTGGTTATCGAGCGGCTAGGCGCCGCAACAAACCCTAAACCCTAAACCCTAAACCCTAAACCCTAAACCCTCGAGCATATGATACAAGCTGAAGGATTGAAACAGTTAATACTTTCTTCCTTTTGCTTTTAAAGAAACCCAAAACCCTGAAATGAGGGTTTAGGGTTTAGGGTTTAGGGTTTAGGGTTTAGGGTTTTGCCTCCCGCCTATCGCCTCACCGGCGATTGATACCTTCCTGTTCTATTTCAGGTGTATATACAGCTGTAAATAAACTTTTATTTATTTATATTTAAAATATATTTATTTTTTAATATAATACAGTTCTATTTCCCGTAAAAAAACCCAAAAATTTGCTCGTTTCTTCTCTCTGCTTTCATTTGACTCATTTCAGGTGTATAGACACCTCAAAACGGCTATATTTTTTCTTTTTTTTTCCTTTTTTTTTCTTTTTTTTTCTTTTTTCTTCTTTTTATTAACCTCCTTTCTCAATCTATAAACCCTAAACACAAATGTTTAACCCCCGCCCCCTCTTTTCCTTTCTTTTTTCTCTTTTTCTTTTCTCTTTCTTCTCTTTTTCTCTCTCTTCTGTCTCTGCATTGAAAGCAAACAGTAGAACTGAACCCTCTCCCCTCTCAATACCTCATGGGGGCCCCCAGGGGGCCCCCCATCACCAGGGGGGCCCCCCGGGGGCCCCCCAGGGGCCCCCCGGGGGCCCCCTTTATACCACCACTTCTGTAAGCAATTCAGCTTCTCCTGTTTCGCTGCATCAAGCTGCTGCAGCTGAAACGCATGCAGCAGCAGCAGCAGCAACAGCAGCAGCAGCAGCAGCAGCAGCAGAAGCAGCAGCAGCAGCAGCAGCAGCAGCAAATATGAATTCTGCTGCTTCTTATATTCCTTATCTTCCTCCACATGTCCTTGACGATGGCCCCTCAGCAGGCTACGACGATAGTTATTATAATAATAATACTACCACCACCAGAAGCAGCAGCAGCAGCAGCAGCAGCAGCAGCAGCAGCAGCAGCAGCAGCACGAGCACCAGCACTACCACAATCAGCACCACAAGCCGCACCACGAGCAGCAGCACCACCAGCAGCACCACCAGCAGCAGCAGCACCAGTACCAGCACCAGCAGCAGCAGCAGCAGCAGCACCCGCAGCAGCAGCAGCAGCAGCAGCAGCAGCAGCAGCAGCAGCGACAGCAGTGGCATCACAACAATCACCAGCATCACCAGCAGCAACAGCAGCAGCAGCAGCAGCAGCAGCAGCAGCAGCAGGAGCAGCAGCAGCACTTGTGAAATAAAATTAGGTGATTTATCTGTCGATGCTCAGCATCTATCTTCTATATGTTTAGGGGGCCCTATATACATGTATAGAGACAAAAATAAATATAAAAATATATATATGTTTCCATCTGTCTCCTCTGTCTCTTCTGTCTCCTCTTTCTCTTCCTTTATTACTCGCCGGCTTTTGTTTACTAATAAAGGCACAAATACACTAACTGTCTCTCTTGGGGTGTCTAGGGGTTTTGTATCTTTATATGAGGAAGAAGAAGAAGAGCAGCAGCAGCAGCAGCAGCAGCAGCAGCAGCAGCAGCAGCAGCAGCAGCAGGAGAGCAGCGGCAGTGATTATGCTGCTTATTATCAGTATATACGCAATACCATGAGCAGCAGCAACAGCAGCAGCAACAGCAGCAGCAGCAGCAGCAGCAGCAGCAGCAGCAGCAGCAGCAGCA